GTCTTGATGAGTTTTATGAAATAAATGCTTATGTTTATGATGATTTATGTGTATGGATATTCTGGTAAATGCTAGATTGGTTGAAAATGAATTGTATGATTGTTTGAGACCTAGCTCACCCTTGCATTTGTATGTGTTGCATGTGTTTGCTTTCCCCCTTGCGATGATCACCCAATCCTTTGGATGTGAGCAGTAGGTGATGATGTACCTTTGGAGCAAGCTTTGGAAGTTGAGGAAGACCCAGCACCTAGTGCTTAGGATTTCTACCAGCTCTTATGTTAAATAGCTTTTCATTTTGAAAGACTTCTAGACTTCATTTTATCATGATCCGTCATTTCGGGAAACTTTTTAGGTCCCTTTAAAATTTCATTAGTCTTAGTATTTTGGAGAATTATGAACTTGTACTTAAGTTTTAAAGTTTTCCAGCCAGACTTGGATAACTGTACTCCTTAATTCCATCTATGGTGTACACTTAACTGCTTTCTATTATTATAATCGATGCATTCTACGTATATACATTGCTATATATTTTGGGATGTCACATGTTATCTCCGGTCTCTTGTTTCAATCTTACAAACAATATTATTGTTTTGTTTTACTTTTTAATACAAATATCATGAAAAACCAAACATTTCTCATTGAAAAGAAACAATTTCTCATAATATTATAATCCCAAATCTTATTCAAATAGTAACATATAAATAGTAACATATAAGCTTGTACAAAAGAAAAAGAAATATAAAGTAGGATATAATAACTATAAACAAAATATTCAAATAATAACATATAAGCATATACAAAAGAAAAAGAAATATAAAATAGGATAATAACTATAAACAAAATAATTTAAGAACTCAAAAACAAATTAGAAATGGTTACCTAAAACTTATAATATTGCTTCAATATTTCAAAAATCACATGTTTCAACAAAGTGTCAAACTTACCAAATGAAATGAGTTAATATATACATCATAGTAAAAGCCTAGGCATCAATAATCGTGTAAAAACATTGCTTACATACATTTAACAAAAAGGCAAACCTATATGAATAAAAATTCATAATCATCCAAATGCAGAACAATACAAAAACTGACAAACTATGTTCAATCAAATTTAATATGTTACCTCATACCTCTTGCTCAAATCTTATAAACATTATTCTTATGCTTTTCCATTTTTAATATAAATATTATATCATAAGTATTAAAAAAGTTCATAATAAGAAAAATAACAATAGAGAATTTGATTGAAAAATATCAAACATACCTCATTTGAAAAAGAAATAACTTTTCAAAATATTAGAATCTCCAAATTCTATTCAATAAGGGTTTTGTGTCGTGAGGTAATGTTATGAGGCTTACAATTTAGGTGGAACCTTTTATGATTAATACTGTGTTTGTTTTTGTAAATGAATTATTTAAGCAAATATATAATAGACGTACATTGATTAGATGATCATAACAACACACTTTAGACAAATATAGCAAAAAAATGAGTCTAACAATACACATTAAACAATATTACTCATATACTGATAAGACGAATATATATATATATATATATATATATATATATATATATATATATATAATATTGGGAAAGTCATTTTATAAGTTGATTAAATGAGTAACAAAAGTTATTAGACAAGTTTAAAAATACGTTGATTGATTAGATGAGTATGACAAACAACATTAGATGGGTTTTCGATGTATTGATTAAACGAGTTTAACAATACACATTAGACAGGTAACTCATATATTGATTAAGCGACTAGGACAATATACATTAGACAAATATTTCTATATACAAATTAATCGAGTGTATTAAACACATTACATAAGTCTATCCATTCACTAATTAGACTAATATTGTAATACACGTTAGATGAACATGTTCATATACTGATTAGATGAGTATAGCGAAAAACATTAGATAGGTCTACCAATACACGTTCAACTAATCTCTCCATACACTAATTAGATGAGTATAGCAAAAAAGTTAGATGAGTCATTCTATACATTCATGATTCTAACAATACACATTAGATGAGTTTGCCCATACATTAGTTAAACGAGTCTTACAACACACATTAAACGAGTTTTTCCATACATTGATTAGATAGATTTAATAATACATTAGACGAGTATATTCATATATACATATTAGATGAGTCTATTAATAAACAACTCTATCCATTTTATAAGTATATGCGTAAAGATACATTATACGAGATTGTTCATATACTAATTTAAACGAGTCTAACAATATAAGTTAAACGAGTGTGTCCATATATTACTTAGATAAGTGTAACAATGCATATCAAATGAGTTTGTCAATTGATGTATTAGACGAATTTAACAATACACATACCACTTTATTCATACACTAGTTGATATTTTTAACGAGTATACTTCACATATTTCTCAATACTTTTATATTTTGAGAATCTATTTTGTATTTTTGTACACATTTTATTCTTTATATTTTTACAAACTCTATTATTTATAATTTTTACAAACATATATTGAATTTTTAAACTTATAAATCATTTTTCAATTTAATTTTATTCAAAACTTAATTATAAACTTAAAATTATTTATTATTTTTTCTTTTAAGTTCTAAATCTTTTTTAACAAACATATAAATAAATACCAACCCGTGCATAAATATAAATTTAAAATTAATTATCAATAAAAGAATATACCATAAATTAATCTAAACATTATCAAATACAATGCATCTTTAATCATATTATAAAAATATTAGTATTTAACGACATTTTTATTTATAATTTCTCTCTTAATTAATAATGTGATATCATTATTATCAACAACTATTTTCCCTTTCAATAATACTGATTAAGTATGGAAATTTTATCTTTTATCATTACTTCAATTTCAACTAAAAAGACGTTGACATAATTAATGTCCATTTATAAATAATTTAATTAGCAAACTATGTTTATTTACGTTGGTCTTAATTATTATTAACTAAAATCACTTTACTTCCCAACAAACAAGGAAAAAAATTTAAATTTCATTGTAATAATATCCAAATTACAAATTACACATTTTGTTTTATACAAAACATTCATACAGTGGTTAATTACAGAACTTTATAGATTACTATTGTCTTTCTTGATAACTCCGACACCTATTCACCGAACACAACCAAGGTCCACTTTCCGAGCATACATTTCGTGCAAGTTAATTACAAACCCTAAAAACGGAAAGAAGAAGGAAAATAGAAACCTACCATGCCTATCATAATAAATCCATAATTGTCCATAAGTTTATGATTTCACGAAGTTGACTATTGAATAACCATTTTCCTGATTCTAGATATGCAACACATAATTTTTTTCCAAGGGCCCAAATATTGATCCATTTATTATTTCATCAAAGTCAGAAATAGGAGACTACTCTAAGAAACAAAGACGAGCCCTATTGCCCTATTTTTTCTTTCTTTTTCCCTCTTCTCTCTGTCTTCACTTTTTTTTTTGTTTTTTTTTTTGGGTTTTCGCTCCCTCGCAGATAGATATCCATTTTTTTATTCCCATTTCTTTCTTCGTTCGCTTTTCGTTTTCCAGTCTTCAAAAACCAGACACGCGCCACTGTTGCTAGATTCACACCAACGCTCTCTTTTTTCGTTTTATTTTCTTTCTCCTCTGCCCCGGACTCCGATTCCGGGTCGGGTTGTGCCCGTTTTAACGACAGTGATGGGCGATCTTCATGCAAACGGTATCGTTTTCGGGGAGGATCGCCCGTGCGGGTCCTCGCCGCCGTCTCCGCCGCTTCCGATTTCAAATCCCGATCCGTCCTCCGTGGCGGCGGATGCCTGGGCGGCGGCCGAGCAAACCACCGGCGAGATTCTCCGCAGCATACAGCCCACGCTCGCCGCCGACCGGAGGCGGAGGGAGGTCGTCGATTACGTCCAGAGGCTCATTCGGTACGGCGCGCGCTGCGAGGTGATGTTGCTTGCTCTCTTCGATTCTCATCAATATTCAATTATGGTCGGTGTCACCGGCGTCGTTTTGGTTGCGTGGATGCTTGCTTTTTTTTTTTTTTGTATTGGATTCAGTTTAACGATCTTGGCGTGCTTGTTGGCTGTTTAGATTTTTGTTTTCATGGTTTTGGTGATTGTGAAGGTGTTGGACTCGAATTTGGACTTATTTGTGTTGTTTTGAGGGCGTTGCTTTTGAAATTAGGGCGACATTGATGAGAAATGATAACTTCTTCATTAGGAATTGTGGTAGTTGCAATGCTGAATTGATAATGGAATGAACTTGCTCTCTATCTGCTTTTCGTCAGGAAGTTGTCAGATTAGTCAAGTTCACTTTCGGTACTGGTAATTAGGGCAGCTAAATGTAAAAGAAAATGAGGTGTTGTTGTTCATGTCTTGAATGCTTTTGCTCTGAGTTGGGGCCATGGGACACAGTAAGGATTACCACTTCGAAATAGTGTTTAAGTTTGTTTTGTTACTTTATTTCTGTTACTTAGCTGTGGTGAACTCGTATTAATGTCAGTAATTGGACACTTTACAGGAATTTTGAATATTTTTAGATGCTTGTACAACTTTTTTGCTATGTATTTATTATCCGTTCTATGAATGTGTATGTCACAATGATTAGGTAAATTGAAGTGCTTTATTATCTCTTAAATGACTTATGTTCACTTTTGACATATCCATTCTGTCTTTGATTTAAGACATGTGTTTTATGTTAATGTTATACTGATTTAAGTGTTGTAAAGCAGTGTTGTCTCTTTTAACTTTTTAAGTTTGCTGAATTCTAGTGCCTGCTGTATTGTTTCCATGTCTATCATGCTTTTGAGTATGATAAATATGGTGAAAATGAGCAAATCAGTTATTTGATGAGAAGTCAGTTGTTGAAGGGCATTAATTTTGTACTCATTTTGTCAGGTTTGATATCAAAGTGAGTTGTCAAGCATTCTATAAATTATTAATTATATTTTTAGATTTAAGAAATTCCTTAATGTTTATTCTGATAGCAAGTGCTTGACAACTAAGCTTGGAGACCATATCCATAAGGGTACAATAGCAACTCTGGTTTTTTAAATTAACATGCAGTCAATTTGACATTACATATGTTTTTATACCTCTTTCAAAACATCTGGATTTTGCACAAGGATTAAGAAAGGCATCGAATAAGCCCCTTACTAGAAAAAATAACTACATTTCCCAGAATTGTACTTTATCAGTATTACTATTAGTATGCGTGAAATGTTACCTGTTTCTAACCAAATATTCCAGAAGCTTAAGTGCATGTTTGGATTGAAGTGAAAGCAATGTTGTGACAATTGCATGAGTAAACTTGCTAATTCGCATGATCTTATGAGTTTTGGTGAGTCCCATGCTAATTTGCAGAGGGGACCACTGCTTATGCAAATCACGGTTTTCAGAAGAAAATTGCTGGATTGTTGATCCCTCCTATACTCTTTTTTAAAATAAATGAAGGATCCTGTATCTCCTATTGTTGTCGAACATTGCTATTGCTGTCACTGAATGTTTCCAACATTGTTGTCGGACGTTGCTGTCACCTTTGCAGGTTTAATTGAAAATGCTACATGACGGTGTTACATTGAGAAAATCATGAAAAATGTCATCGAGGATTTTTGGTCACCTTTTAGCAACTGCCATTCTTGTTATTGTCTTGCATTGAATGTGGCAGAGGTGATGACGTTTTAGTGTGTTGTAGAGGTGGAAGAGTCTAGTCACACGGTTAGGTGAGTGATTAGGGTTCACATCTAAAGAAACAAAATGATAAGGTGGGTTTTGGGCTTGCGGGTCAACTTGAAATGGGCCTTATGTTTGGGCCTATTATCATAATCTGTTTTTAGTGTGTTTGGGTCTTTGGTTCGTTTGGACATTATTTTATGTTCTTGGTGATTGATGACTTATTATGAATTCTTAGTTATTTTATTATAAGCTATTTTTTTTTATGTATATGGATGTATATAAATATAATTATATGCATTGTTGGAAGGATATTTGTCATCTGTGTTGATCTTTTTATGATCATTAAGGTACAAAATTTATCCACCCTTCCGTTGCTCAAGTTTGATAACATTAGTTGACAGAGCTTAAACGTACTTTTTATCCTAGTAGCAACAAATCCTCCCTTTCCAATTCATTAATTGGAATGCCAATTTTGTTTGGAATTTGCAAAAGTGCTTACATAAGTTTAAACCAGCATCTATAGACTTGCTCATATAGGCTTTGGTGCCATGTCCTATCATCCAGAATTTTAAGCTGTCAGGTAAAAGACCCAAGAGTGATATTGTTGCATCGTTAACGCCAGTGCCTCCCCCCACATCAAGTGTGGATAGGGCGTAGGTCCATTTATATTGTGTTATACTTGAAGTTTGTATTAGAAAAATGGGGTTGGAAAGAATTGAACTCTAGACCGTGAGGTACTAAAAGCTTTGATACCATGTCATTAACTAATTATGCCATATGGATGGTTTTATATTACACCTCTTACGATATCATTCGATTAATGCTCTCTCATTTCGTTTATTATTGATTTCAAGAGACAATAATAGGAAGAAATAATTAATGTCTTCTTGATATCCAAAAACTGTAGATAAGATAAAGCAAATATTTTCTAAAACAATGATGTATAATTCTTTTTGGCGTACATTAGTTTGGTGTTTTTCTATATGTGACAAAATGCACTTTTCTAACATTCCCTTTTATGCATATTGTTTGCTACATGTAAACTTATAATTGATTTGAGGCTGTAGTTGCTAAAAAGCACATGCCTTAAGAAAGGTGTCAACATTATTAAAAACCACAAACAGTATGATATGTGACTACTTTGCATTAAGTTCCATTTAAATAAGGAAATTTGCAGTGATCTCCTTTGAGGTGATTCTCATTACTCTATAACCTTCCTTGTTTGCAGAATAAAACCAATATCCTTTCTTTATTTTGTGCACTGCTCTTGCACCCATGTACCCTTGTTTATTTATGTCGGTGATCCCATGTCGAATAGATATATGGTCAAATTTAAATGCGTAAGTTGGTGTAAGTCTTACTTTATAAGTTGGTTTTGTGAGGTTAAGTTAGGTTTAAAATCTATTTCCTTAGAGTTTTATACCGATCTCCCTCTTACTTTATGTTTAACCTTATAAAGTGACCCATAATTATAACCAACAAAATGAGGTGAGTGTAATTTTCCAAGCAAGGAATGTATTGGTGTAATAAGTGCGAATCATTGAGGTGAATGCAATATCTTCTATAAATATATTGTCTATTGACGCCACAATTTAATCTATGTATGAAAAACAGCTTTTGGTGAGCATTGCACTCAACAAATACTTATGTTCTTGTCCGTACCTTTCTTTATCTCATCAATTATTGTTTATTAGCCATAAGTTAACTTGTGTTTGTAATAACTATTTTTAGAGTATATTTGGAATCAAATATTTGAAGAATCAAGAGTTGATTTGATGAATGAAAATATTTTTTTGGAAAAAAATTGTTATGAAGTTATACCATAGAAATTGATTTTGGTTTGGAAAAGCTGTTCCGTTTGTTATATTGTACTAATTTAAATCCATTTAAAACCAAATGGATTTGAGTAGATTTGTTTTTGGTTTGAGTTTAATTGCCATTTGATTTCTGTTAATTATATAAAATCAATTAATTTAATGTTAATGTGACTTAAAATCAATTTATCCAAGCAAACTTGGAATTTGATTTCTAAATCAATTCAAGTCTTATTTTTTATGCTGATTTCTAAGCATAAGATTTTTTTTATCAAAATCAAGTAAGATTGCTCTTGTTTTTAGTGATTCCAAGCCCAACATTAAGCTTATTTTTTGTTTATACTTTCATGTTCGTAAATTTAATTAAATTTTGATTTTTTTTTTCCGAATTCTTGTAGTTTCCTCGATTTTTTCTTCTAATACCTCTGTAGTTTTTCTGTATGGCAACTATTTACCAATTACTCAAGTATAACATTCATAGTCAATTACTCAAGCATACATTCATGGTAATAATTAGAGCGGAAAAAGTCCAATTAACAAAGGAAGTTTTTCTACCCTCATCTATGGACACATGGTTATGTACTCAACTGAATTTGTTAATAAGGAGTTCATCCTATATAGTTAAGAATATCTAGATTATATATGTAGAATGTTTTTCTTTATTCCCATATCAGGTCTTTGTTAATAGAAAATATTAAATCTCCTCTATTTATTGTTTTAATTCCGTTTTCTAAATATAAGTAAATCACCCGAACTGTCTCAGAAACACATGGTCTTGGTTCAATGTTTCTCTCTTCTCTATAGTTTAAAAGACTTAGTGTTTCAGTTATTTTATAATCAGCAAGGTTCTAAAGGCATCGGTTGCTTGAACAAGAACAGTGTGCCTAAGGGGCCATTATGTTGTCTGACTAAAGGTGCTGAATTGATATTACCCGGGACACCTTCCAGTGCAATGGTTGTACTGGATGTATGTGATTGGTCTAAAGTATTGTGGTTGTCAAGTCCCCCATCAGGTATTCTGGGATGTTTGGTATAGTATTTAAGTGCTTGGTTCTTCCCCTTTATTACTGAATTTTAATGCTCGATGAAGTATTTGAGTGTGGGGTTCTCCCTCTTTAGCGAGTTCCCCAAATGCTTGAGTGCTTATCAATGCACTACAATCTATTGTTTTTATTTTAGTTCCTTTCAATTTAAAAGAAGATATTTCTGCCATATAGATCGAGGCTGGTGGTTTGTTCCTTTTTTCTTCTGTAGGGCTTATTCAATTTAATGCAGCTGATTGCTGTGCAGATTTTGATGAATAAATGTTGTTGACTTCAGGCAGTGATTGGCAGGGTTCTTTCTAATGTGGTATACATATTGATGTTAAATATTATTCATTGCAGGTTTTTCCATATGGATCAGTTCCATTAAAAACATATCTTCCAGATGGAGATATTGATTTAACTGCACTCAGTTGTCAAAACATTGAGGATGGCTTGGTATCTGATGTTCGTGCTGTTCTTCATGGAGAGGAAATTAATGAAGCAGCTGAATATGAAGTGAAGGATGTTCGTTTCATTGATGCAGAGGTTATTTCTGCTTTCTTAATTGATGGCTTATCAGAAATTGAATGCATTTTAGTTTAAGTTTATTTTATGCCAACTGCCTAAGTAAATTAGAAATATAGAGTTGTCAACTTGTTATGACTCATGAGCGTGGAAAAAGTTGGATCTGTATTTGCTTTTACATTTTACTGGAGGAGAATATTTTTCACTCAAGTATATGCGCAAGCATTTTTTTCTCCTGTATTGGAACTTTGAGTTGTTTAAAAGCATCCAAATAATTGCTTCTTGGTTCCCCCTATTTCTCTTCCCGTAAGTTATGGAAATTTGCTTCTCAATTTGTTATTGTTGAAAGTCTCACATCGACTAGAGATAAGACCAATTTAAAGTATATAAGTGGTGCAAACCTCACCTTACAAGCCGGTTTTGTGGGGTTGAGTTAGTATTAAAGTCCACTTCTTAACATGGTATCAGAGCTATGATAAAGCCTATCCTAATGATATTTGTTGTTTGTTGGGCATGTTGTTCCAACCTGTTATCGGGTCGTTATCGGACCACCCATTAATGTCTAGTCTCACGCTCGAAATGATGTCTATACCTCAACGTGAGAGAGGTGTGTTGGAAGTCCCACATCGACTAAAGATAAAACCAATTTAAAGTATATAAGTGAGTGAAAACCTTACCTTATAAGCCGGTTTTGTAGGATTGAGTTAGGCTTAAAGTCCATTTCTTAACAGTTACTTCAATCTATGCAAGGGTAGTTTATTTTGATAGCTTTGACTAGATCTAGAGCAGCACCTGGCAATTCTTGTTGATTTTAGATTTATTTATGTTTTCTCATCGTACATGGATAATCAGTGTATTTGTATAACTTTTCTAAGTTGATATGCTAGGCTGATTTTGATGCACAGTTCGTTGTGGGCATACCCTTTGTATTTCAGTATTCCTTATATACCTATTGAAATATTTTATTCATCCATGATGCCTAACGTGCATCTTTGTTTGGTTTAATATTTGTGAATTGATTTTTACTTTTATTTAATGTGTTGATATTTTTATAGTTCATATGTTGGGGTTTCTTTTTCTGCAGGTTAAGCTTGTTAAATGCATAGTACAGGATATTGTTGTAGACATCTCTTTCAATCAGTTAGGAGGACTCAGTACATTATGCTTTCTTGAGAAGGTATTACTGACCTCTGAAGGCCACAACAATAATTTTAATACAATTCATCCTCGCTTAATGTTTCAGATAGCATAATGATATTTTCTTCCATTTTCTTTATTTTGTTTGAGTCTCAAGACTTAAGAAACAAGTATTATATATTGCAATCTATATGCATCCACATGTTGCAGTCTGGAGTATTGTGTTACTACACTTTGACTCTACCTTTTGTTTTATATTATAATATTATATAGCACATATATTCCTGGTGTATGGTATTATATAAATTCTGTTCTTATAATTTATAGGTTGATCAACTTGTTGCCAAGGATCATCTTTTCAAACGTAGTATTATCCTGATTAAAGCTTGGTGCTATTATGAGAGCCGTGTACTGGGTGCTCATCATGGTCTGATTTCAACATATGCTTTGGAAACCTTGGTTCTGTATATTTTCCATCAGTTTCATGTATCCTTAGATGGTCCTCTAGCAGTAAGTTCTCCATCAAATATACTTGGATCATACTTTTGCTTATGGAAAAGAAAATCAGCATCAGATGATGATGGTGATGCGTCCTTTCAGTAAGAATTTTGTCCACTCTGCCCTTTTTCCAGGTTCTCTACAGATTTTTGGACTACTTCAGCAAATTTGATTGGGACAACTATTGTGTTAGTTTGAAGGGACCAGTTAGCAAATCTTCTCTGCCTAATATAGTAGGTAGGCATATTTTTCTTTTTTTTCTTTTTGGTTTTGTCAAGCAGCTTTATGTTTTTTATTGGTTTCTTGCTGTGTGAAGCTGAGGTTCCTGAAAAGGGAGGAAATACCCTACTGACTGAAGAATTCATTAGAAGCTGTGTGGAATCATTCTCAGTACCATCAAGAGGGCCTGATTTAAATTTGCGTGCATTTCCCCAGAAACATCTTAACATCATTGATCCATTGAAGGAAAACAACAATCTTGGCCGGAGTGTCAATAAAGGCATGTAATGTTTAACTTTTAGTCTCCATGACTATTGAATTGTGTTTTAATGTTGTGGTTGGGTTCTTTACCTATATTTGTCATGTTATCTTGTTTTTTAAAGATTGTTTCGTTTAAATCCTTTTAAGGGGATAATCTTTACCATTGAATTTATTGAGAGATAACTATATTCTTCTTCCAAAGATGTTAGAGATCTCACATTGATTAGAGATATAATCAATTAAGTATATAAGTGGATGAAAATCAGTTAAAAACTGATTTTGATGTTGAATTAGACTTAAGATCCATTATTATGATAAGATCAGAGTCTGGGTTTATTGGGCCTATCATGTCATTTGCTATAGGGTCAGTATTGGATCATCCATAAATATTTATTCTCGTGAGTTGTCTAGTCCTCTGCCTAAAGGGGGTGTGTTAGAGATCTATATTGACTAAAGATATGATGAACTTATAATATATAAATCAGTTAAATCTCATATTACAAACCTGTTTTGTGAGGTTGCGCAAGACTTAAAGTCAACTTTCAGGAGAGGAGATTTAAATATGATGATATGAGCATTGTAAAACCTTGTAAAAAAGAAGGAAAGAGTAGAAAAGCATTGTGCTGACCTTCACTATTGAAGTGTTGAAAAATACAGGTATACACTAAAAGAGGGTTGAATAGTGTTAGATAATCTTGAAAAAATTTTCAAATACACAATTCTAAAAGCTTTTAGCGAGGACAAGAGTAAATACTGAGTTATTTTCAATCTCTTTTACAACCCATAAAGGATTCCACTAGTTACAATGAATACAAATGAGTTTTTACTTTGCTACTCCTGACTTAAGTATTTTTTGTCTTTTCTAGCTACAAATATTCCCTATGCCACTTCTTGCACCCTTAAACACCGGAGCTTAATAATACAATTTAGTCTTTTTTATTGAGTGTTAGGTTCCTTTATCAAGAAACCTAAACAATAGCCTCTCTTCTCACTCAAACACTGAACAACAAAAATGAAAGTATGTATGTATGTATTATTATTGATTATGTAAAGTATAGAAAATTACAAGTGTAATCTCCCCCAAGGAAGCCTATCTTCCTCCACTAGCAAATATGCTCAGTCTATACTCAAAATGAAATGACCTACCTGAATAGAGTTATACTCAAAATGAAATGACCTACCTGAATAGAGTTATAGGAAGACTATTTATAGTGTCGCCTTCCCAAGCCCTAACCTTTCTGCTAACCCAAATTGCTTCTACTAAATACAGTTCGGTCTACCCTTTCATTTTCCCTCCTGGCTAGTGTTCGGTCTACACTCCCATCCTCCCTTCTGGTTACCGTTCGGCATCTACTTCCCTCCTTCCTTCCTGCTACCGTTCGGCCCTTAACTCCCTCTTCCCTTGCAACCACCGTTCGGCCCTTAACTCCCTCTTCCCTTGCAACCACCGTTCGGCCTTTAACTTCCCCTTGCCTTATCGTGATACCGTTCTGTCCACTTCTCCTCTCTTACACCGTTCGTCCTAACTTCTCCTCTCTTACCCCGTTCGGCCTAGCTTTCCCCTTGTCTTACCGTTCGGCCTAGCTTCCCCTCTCTTACTCCGTTCGGCCTAGTTTCCCCCTTGCCTTACCGTTCGGACCGTTCCGCCTCGCTTCCCCCTTTCGTTCTGTTCGGCCTCACTTCCTCTTTGCCTTACCGTTCGGCATTATGTTACTTCCCTCTTTTATTCCTAACATTGAGCCACTCTTGGTTTTTACAAATATATAAAGCTATTACAAGAACTGATCAATACTCAAAAAGTGAATTTAAGGATTTCTTTGACTTTCCTCACTTCTATATCGGCAACCACTTTATTAAAGGTTAGGTTTTCCAATGTTTTGGATTCTGACTTGATAAAACACATGATTTAATTCTATAATAAAATCATAGACCCTATCTTGTTCCATAAATTCCTTCATAACAACATCTTTTGCACAATTAGGCCTCATTACATTGTAATAATGTAATTTCATTCGAAGTTACTGTACATCATACACTTGATTAGCATCTCTAGCCTTGGAATAAGTTTTCTCAGTTGCATCTTAAACTTCGTTTGCTGTGCTGGGAAACATGGTGGTATCACTAATCAATGTATTTGTAGAATTCCCAGCCAAGCAAAGATCAATGTCTCTTTCTCATCCCATGCTTTTGGGACTCCATACTTTGGTCTACACGAGACTATGTATACTTTGTTTGATATAGTTTCCATGGACACAAAGAAGTATAAAAAAATAGTTTTAGAGGCCTTGCTTTTGTTCAATGTCTCTTCCTGATGATTGCATTATATTTTCTCTTTCAGGGAACTTTTTCCGAATACGCAGTGCTTTTAAGTATGGTGCCCGTAAACTTGGCTGGATTCTTATGTTATCAGACGATAAAATAGAAGATGAGCTTATTAGGTTCTTTGCAAACACCCTGGAAAGGCATGGAAGCACTCAGGTGAATATAGACAAGTCAGTTTTGAGCTCATCTACAGCATCCAAAAGGGATGCAGGACCTGGAAATCAACATAATTATGAAAGCAGAGAGGAAATCCAAGATGACTCCTCTTTGGCAGGGGAGTTCCTTGATTCCTCTGGGGATGGAAATGCAGTCGCAAGTTATAAACTTAGTGAAGATTCTAGGGATTTTGCAACATCTGGGGTATTGGATATAGCAAGCGCTAATGATTTGTCATATTGTTCAAATGGGCGAATTGAAAGTAATATTTCAAGCAGTGAACCTGCTCTAAATACTGTTATTGATGAAGGTATAGTGAGCAATTCTCCCAGATCACATACTGATGAAAAGAATATGGCATCTTATGGTTCAGCTGTTTCAACATATGCTAATATCCTTGAAAATAATTTTTTTCATGGTGATAGATACACCACTAGTGTTTCTGGGGGTACTGAAGCTTCAATGTCGTTGTTGGACCTTACTGGGGATTATGACAGTCACATCGGAAACTTACAATATGGTCAGATGTGTAATGGTTATACTGTCTCTCCTGTTGTGCCTAGCCCTCCTAGATCTCCGAAGTTCCCAAAAAATAGGAATCCATGGGAAACTGTTCGTCAATGTGTACAAATTAATCACAGTCTTCGATCTCAGGCAAACTCAAATTGTGTCATTGGGCAACAAGTTTACGTCATAAATCATCCTACACTTCCAATGACAACTTTTGCTTCAGAAGAAAAAAGGAAAATTCGAGGAACAGGCGCATACTTTCCTAACATGGTATTTAATGTTTATAGTTATTAAAACTAGACAGACACCTCTAATATATGCATACCCATACTTTCTAGTGATTTAGTCATCATCTAATAATTGTTAAGCTTTTAATTTTGCAGACTTCTCGTCCGTACAGGGATAATAGGCCAATTCCAGGAAGGGGAAGGGGCCAAGCACCAGGTTCTCATGGGCATCTGCAGAGACACACTCGTAACAATGGCTTGGCCCTAGCTCCACAAGAAATGAATTTGTCTTCGGAAGGAACCTTTGAATATTCTCTAGAAGGATACTCTCCTATTGGTAGCACCAAAGCAAGATCATCTGAAACCTATTTCCCTCAACCTTCTACATGGGGGTCACATTATACCAACGGTTTCCTTCACTCATCTGAGAAACTTGAATCTGGATCTGTGGTCCCTCAGCTTCGTGTAGCCTCAAGAACTGACATGAGCAATTACCCAGACTCTGGGATTTCTACATCTAGGGGCACTGTGCCTAACACGGGGGTGGTGACAGAGGAGAAGCCTAATTCATTGTCTGTAGTTGATTCCAAAAGGTAATATAATTCTTCCAGTGTTGATTACTTTGTTGCTACTGAGATTATTTATGATGTTAAATGATAGCAACTTTCATTAGAGATTAAAGCACTAAAATTATAGTTTGTACTCCTAGTTTTCATCTTCTTTAAAGGGGGTGTTGGTTTGAGATTCAGGATTGACGAGCAAGCTTATCATTTGAAGAATGAAGATGACTTTCCTCCACTTTCCCACTGAGTGCCAGTGAAGGATGGTGAATATGTAATAGCATTAGCAGTAATGGTCAATACATGGAAACTATTATGACTTGCCTACCTTTCAGCAGGTGCTACCAAAGGATGGTGATTTTGTAAGAAGTAAGAACAATGTGCATTCGTCTCAAAAAAGAAGATAGCTTCCCTCGACACTGGGTCTCTCCTAGAGATTGGAGAACAGATAGAAATGAGAGTACCAAATAAGTAGAAAACTGCTGGGAGTAGCCTTAGAAACTAACGAAATAGACTAAACTAGATGGAGTGTTATGTTATCCGTGTTCCCTCTTTTCTTCATTTGGTCCTTTGTACAAAAGGTGCATGTATATTCTGGTTTCTTTTTTGCCTCTTACAACCGTTTTTATTTTTCATTATTTAGGGATGTATATATCAGGTGATTTCCTGAGGTTGAGTTTATAGTTCTGTTCTGTTGTTTGTAGCTTTGAAGTGTACAACTGAAGGTTTAGATATCTTACTGAAATGGATACCCAAAATTTTCTCAGTTTCAGAAAGTATATTTAGGTATTTTCTTTGGAATTTGGGTGTTCGCCCATGATTTTATTCATGACCTTGCTTGATGATCACAAAATTGAAGAAAGGTCTGAATGGCTGAAATGCTATGTCAGTGAGGAGAGGCCACTGGAGAAATCAGTGATTCACCTAAATCTTTATTGGTCGTTTTTGTTTGCTTCCTGTTGAACATGGTCGATGCAATATGATAGATTGGGTGTTGAATTGTGTTTTATTAATCAGCAGGGATATGTGAAATCTGAAGTAGTGTACTGAGGAAAAGATGACGGAGTCTCTCTTAAGATTGTTTAGTCTTTATGTGAAAAGAAAACAGTAAGAGTTTGTTGAAATCTGGAAAGAGTTGGAAGAGGATTGAAGAAAGCTTCAATAGAAGCATTACACAAGACCTTCAAGTGTTTTTTTTGTCTTTCGTGAATGTAGTCTTTTTAGTACAGTGACTTTATTCGATTCATTTTGTGATTTCACTTGGTGAGATTAGCCCAGCCCCAGATGTTACTGTATCTGACTATAGATGCTTGATGCGTGGCTGATGTTTTTCCTAGCAATATGTTGTCTTTAATTTTATATAAATTAAGACGAAATATTGTTCGGTTTATATGATATTTTATACTTATTTTTGTTCATGACAGCAGTGTCTCTGGTGGAGTTCTTGGCCATTCGAATTGCCTTGATGACGCCCCCCAGAAAAATTCGTGGTAGTAATCATCATGTTGTGTAGCTCATAATGATAAGATTTTGTGAATAGACGTAGGCTTGATTGAATATAATCCAGCCAAAAGCAGGATTCAAATAGAAGAATTAGCATAATTTTTTGTTTGAATGTGAGCTGTATTTTTACACTAGTGAAGATTTTATGGTTGTACATAAACTAGTTTTATCTTGGTAGGATGTTTTATCAGGCTATTTGGTGCGAAGAGAAACCCGAGTAGAATTGCCTTGTACTGTTTTTGTTGTCTACATTGTTTTTTAGTAGAACTAAAATATGTCATTTTCCAAACTTTTTTTTAAGCGAATATCTTAAAATTCAAAGATTATTGATTTTTTTTAGTCCCTGTATATAATTTTTACATTTAGATCTAAAATAATTTTCTCCTTTGAATCTTTACTTAATTATTTAAATGTTAATGTAATTACCAAAACGGAAAATATTAAGATAAAGGGCACTCTTTTTGTTTTTTTGTATTTTTAGTAAGATATTTCAGATGTGTTTTCTTCTTAAATGCAAGTTTAGTCATGTATATATAATATAAAAGCTTTCTTTGTTAAATAATATATAAACTCTTTTTATTAATATTTATATACAATTTCGTAAAGACAAACGTTACATTAAATCATTGAATGTATGTTTTTCTGTAATTTACTTCGTAAAAATTCCAAGTTCTAAGAGATGCTAAAACTAGATGGATTATAAAGTAATTTTAAACTTTCAGGAATTAAATTATATAAAAACGTATATTAGGAAGTATCAAAGTAAAATACTGCTATTTTAGAGGATAAATGATAAAATAAAAATTAATTTTTATGGGAAGTTCAAATTCTGATTTCTTAAAATCTTTTTGCAACTAAAGTCATTTTTCTTTTGCCTTATAGCTATTGAAACCAATTTGAATAGTCATGTTAGTTAAAAGACGCAAGGGACGAGAGTAAATTTAGAAAAAAAAAAAGAAAAATAATACTTTAATACATCCATATTTTTTATTTTTATTTGATATTATTCTTTCTTATTTTTTACTTTTTCTTTTTTAAAAAATTACAAAAAAATTACTTTTTTATAATTATTTTATCCTATAATATATGTCAAATATATTTAAATGTATCTACCTTATCATTACCAACAAAAATATTCTAATCTCATTCCTCAAATATAAAATCCACTGCAAAGTTTTTCACAAAAAGTGACATGCACCACTTTATCAACCTTATTCAAAATACATATCAATAAAGCCTCATTTATAAAATATCCTACTAAATGCAGAGGAAAAATTACAATTTTAATCTCTTTATTCTTTAATCAGTCAATTTTATTTTATGATTATCTCAAATATGAATTTAAGACGCATTAAACTAAATATATATATATATATATATATATTAAACTGTTACTTAGAAAACACAAAAGCACCAGTGGTCTAGTGGTAGAATAGTACCCTGCCACGGTACAGACCCGGGTTCGATTCCCGGCTGGTGCAGTTGTCGAGCTGTGACGAAACTGTGTTCGATGTTGTAGATGGGTCTATCACACTCTTCTGATCTTTCAGACGAATAATAACACATCAGAGCTCAAAGTTAAAATTTTTCATCTTACTCATAATATTTTGAAGCTTAATAAGATATAATTCAATTATCTTCCTTCTCTTCTGCTCTTTATTTTGCATCTCTTATAACAGGTTCACATACTACCATATCCAATAAACTTAGCAGCTTAACACCTGCCACATTTCTAAGCACCATACCAGTTGATTCATGAATGTTTTGATGGCATTTTGTTTACACCTTGCAGGGAATGATTTCTTCCTTAAGGCTTTCAAAGATATAATTGTTGTCAGGTTCAATATCTATCACACTTGCAAAGTTTCTAAGAAAAAGATACCCTCAGTGTCAAATTCCAACTGAGTAAGCTTCTAACCTTAAATTTGGTGTGAAATGTCTATAGCAGTAAATACACTAGCCTCTTGCCTCTTTCTTTGTCTACCATTTTTTACCAAGGAATTTTATCCTTATGATAATTTCTGATGGATTGTTACAACACATCAGATGCCAAGGACATCAATTGACTTGAAAAGTACTTCATATTGCTCTAAAATTGTAGAAACATATCTTACATTTCTACTGAAGCTAAGTATGACTCTGTAATTGCAGATTCGATGATATCTCCTCCAAGGCGAAGTTTGTCATCTCTTTAGAGAAGCTTGTAAACGAAGGGTTCAGATTCAAGCATGGAATTTGAGAAATTTTTTAACACAGTTTGTAGTACCTAGGCAGTAAGGCAGTTTGGAGTACTTTGGCAGTTTGAACACACTTTGTAAAATCCATATACTCTCCCAAAGGTTTATAATTCTGTATAACCTTTTTTGAAGAGTATTCGTAAAATCTGTCAAGAATAGGTTTATGTATATACAATTTCATGTTTTAAAGTTTGTTGAATAACTCAACTATATGGAATTGATTTGTTTAGGAATTTGTTGGACAATTTAATTATATGAAATATATTTGCAAGGTGGGTGAGGAGAGTATTTCTTAGAGTTTCATAAGATAATAAAATAATAAAATAAAATTAGGTGGATTGGTGAGCCAATCTGACTCATAATGAGTTCAATCTGGATGAGTCGAGTTTAAATGAGTCAAGTTGAAAATTGACATGCATAAAGAAAATACATTTTTTTAAACCCAACTCAACTCAAATTTATGGTAGGCTAAGTTGGCTCGCAACTTGTAACCCATTTTGATAGTTCTAATTAACTGTTAATATAAGACTTACTATATCAGAGTTTACATTAATTGTCACAATAAATAACTACTATGTCAGGTCAAGATGGACCTGTCATGGTAAATTTGACTTTCTTTAAACTTGTTATGACAAACTCTATAATAACTATATTAATAAGTCCGCTTACTATGACAAAATTTTTGAAAATGTATCATAATAAATCCACTTATTATGTTAGCATTGTCAACTCATATCATAATAAGTTGAATTTATTAGAATGATTATTTAAGTAACATAATAAGTCAGATCTACTATGTGAGGTTTTCACACCGTCATAGGAAAAACACATATTTTATGTCATCCGACACTATAATGCCATAATACTTACCATAATAAGCTTTTTTTATCTGTCAAAATGTCCTGCGTATAATAGTGCACCTTAAAGAGAGGAAGGGTGGCTTATTCAAGGCTAGGGGTTACTTCCAAGAGTAAAGATTGGAAAAAACTTCAAGAGAGGAAGGAGAAGTTACTTCTTCAAACGAAGTTAACCTCAATAAAAAAAGGTTTCAATAATTTATGTTCATATTCTCTCTCTCTAAGAAGGGGAGAATGATAAGCCCCTAACCCTAGAATGGATGAAACACATGCTTAGGGAGAATGTTTAGAAGGAAAGTTTTTCATCTTCTTCTCATATTGGGTTTATATTTTCTTGTCTTAGAATAAATTTTAGACTCATGATTACTCTCTTGTATTTTTAGGATTGTTCTTGAATAAACCAAGTTTGATAAGAGCACACCTAATGGAGCTTGAAATCAAGACCCAACACCTTAGGGCTCACTTAAGAGTCAAGAGAGGTCATCTTTGACATTCTAGAAGTGGAAAAGTGTGCTCCTTGCTTTCTAAGGACAGGGGCTGCACGTGGTTGTGCAAGCTTCTAAAAACATGTCTTTATAGTTGCTAAGATGTCCATAGGTCCTCCTTGCTCTTTGGAATGCAGTATAACGACTCTCCCGATAATTTGTAACATTATCAATTTAGGTTTGCTAGTTTTGTTAGAATGAATTATAGTGTTTCTTCAATATCTTTATTTGATCTAGGAGGCATGGAGCACTACAAAAAAGAAGGGAATTACCGAAGGCCAAAAGCCCTCGGAAAATGCCATAAGCCGTCGGAAAAGTGTATTTACAGACGGCTTATCGACGACCAATAAGCCCTCGGTAAATCCCTTGTCGTTAACAATTACCGAGGGCTTCGGCCCTTCGGTAATTACCGAGGGGCATAAGCCTTCGGTAATTACCGAAGGGCATAAGCCTTCGGTAATTTCCGAAGGGCAAAAGCCTTCGGTAATTACCTAACGTGGGTATTTAACGGAGGTCGAAAGCCTTCGGTAAGTTGGAGGAAAATGTACGGAAAAATTGTATTTATGGCGAAACCAACAACATAAACAGACCTGCATAACAGTTTTCAATCACAAACAGACCTGCATAATGTGCATCTCAAAGATGCAATCATTGATCAATATCCATAGAACATACATTAATGTATAGAATATCCATTAATCCATTAATCCATAGAACATGTATTTATAGTTAAAACATAAAACAATCAATCTTAATGATGTTCTAACATCCAAAGTCACCAAGTTCATCTAACATCGAAATGATCGAAACTCCAAATGTTGTAATATCAAAATGTTTCTATAACAAGTAATAAGAAAATGAAACTAATAATGTACATAGTTATCATC